AAAAAATTTCTCGTTGTTTGTTTCAAATCCATTAATTGTATCGAATGTTGTAATCCTTTGCAATTCCTGTCATGAACTCAACTACTAAAATAAAAGAATCCTAATAAAGGAATTTCTGTTATTGTAGAATGAGTCAAGAATCCGCCCACGGACAAGGCAACAATGAACACGTCAGTGTTCATACTGAAGCATCTAGTTTCACCCCTCCCGTCCAAAATGAACCCGTCAATCAACAAAATGTTGGGAATAACCCAAACGCTGGTGGTCAACCCGACCTTGTGATTCCAGCTTTTCTAGCTAATGTGTTGCAACAAATAGCCAACGCGCCAATGTTTCAACCACCTCCACCACCGCCACCTCGAGTGATAACCTACAAAACGCTAAGAGATAACGGTGCAGATTTATTCCTTGGGGATCGCATCGGTGAACCCCAGATTGCGTGGGACTGGATCGAGCAGACTGCCCGAGTGTTGGAAGATCTCAATGTACCCATGGACAATTATCCCAGACTGGCTTCTCAATTGCTTCGAAAGGAAGCCTACGAGTGGTGGAAGAGGACGGATGAGAGTGCGGGAACCCCTAAGCCGTGGACATGGGCACATTTCGAATGGGCATTCAAGCAAGAATATATTCCGAAACGATTTAGCGAGGAAAGACGTAAGGAATTTGTTGAACTGGAACAGGGAGACATGACACTCCCTGAATATCGTCAGAAGTTTACCAAACTCGCAAAGTTTGCACCAACCTTAGTAAATACCCCAACCGATCGCATTGAGGAGTTCAGGAAAAAACTTCGACCTGACCTCAGGTCACGTGTATCTGTTCTAACCACTGTGGATTTCGCGGAGGCCTACGATCTCATTGCCAGGGCAGACAGCGACTTGAGTGCTTGCATTGAGTATCTGAAGACAAATAATGTCAGCTCAAGCACTCACCGTCCCACCGGTTCTGCCTCAAAAGGGAAAAGGCCCTTTCAAGAACCTAGCAATTCACATTTCTCTAAAAAGGGAAAATCTGTACAAACTCAGTCGATGGCATCCGTTGATAAGTCCAAAAAGCGGAGGTATCCAGCTTGCGAGCACTGTGGAAGGAATCACCCTGGAGAATGCTGGCTTAAGCAAGGGTTGTGTCTCGGCTGTGGAAAACCAGGACACTTTAGAAAAGAGTGCCCTACAAACCCCGGAGAACCGTATCCACCTGCCCCTGTTGTTAGTCAAGCAGCATCGGCACGACCTACACCAAGTCAACGCTCAACAGCGGGGTCTAATCCAGCCAAGAATCAGAACCAACAACAAGGACGAGCTCCTGCTCGTACATATGCAATGAAATCATGAATTGAGGAGAACCCTGACGTCATCCAGGGTATGTTCTCCTTATTTGATACTGTCATGCATGTGTTGATAGACCCCGGATCAACTTTGTCTTATATCTGTGTACAAATGCCTGAAAAAGCTGACATAATGAAAGAACATTTAGAACAACCTATACTAGTGTCTAACCCGTTAGGACATAGTATGAGGTTAAATCATGTGTATCAAAACTGCCCATTGATTGTTGAAGGACATCAGTTCTCTGTCAATCTTATCGAACTATCGTACAAAGAATTTGACATCATCCTCGGAATGGATTGGCCCACCGAACACCAAGCAATTATCGATTGCCGACGACGAGCAATTCAACTAAAGTCTGGAGAGGGAAAGTCCATAGAGGTGAGAGAGAATATGACACCTAAATCCACTGAATTCATCTCGTACATACACGCTAGGTGTCTCATTCGAAAGAAATGTGAAGCTTATCTGTGTAACGTACGTGACACACGAAAGGAAACTCTTGAGTTGAAAGACATACCGACAGTATGTGGTTTTCCTGACGTATTTCCTGACGAACTTCCTGGTATACCATCTTCCAGAGAAGTAGAATTTTCCATCGATCTTGTTCCTGGAACAGGACCGATATCTGCAACTCCCTATCGCATGGCTCCTGCTGAAATGAAAGAGTTGAAGGCTCAACTACAAGAACTACTCAATAAAGGATTCATACGTCCGAGTGTTTCCCCTTGGGGAGCACCCGTCCTGTTTGTCAAAAAGAAAGATGGCTCGATGAGACTCTGCATCGATTACCGTCAATTGAACAAAGTCACAATCAAAAATCGATATCCTTTACCTCGTATCGATGACTTATTTGATCAGCTTAGAGGATCCACTGTATTTTCTAAGATTGACTTACGGTCAGGATACCATTAAATCCCTGTAAAGAAAGAGGACATCCCAAAGACTGCGTTCCGTACCCGTTATGGTCATTATGAGTTTACGGTAATGCCCTTTGGTTTGACCAATGCTTCAGCAGTATTCATGGATCTCATGAATAGTGTATTCCGACCTTATCTTGATCAATTCGTGGTTGTATTCATCGATGATATTCTTGTCTATTCGAAGAATCGAGAAGACCATGTGAAACATTTGGAGATAGTACTCAGCATACTACGGGAACATAAACTATATGCCAAACTGTCAAAGTGTGAATTTTGGCTTAATGAAGTTACGTTTTTGGGACATGTGATTTCTCAAGAAGGTGTTAAAGTAGACCCCAGTAAAATATCTGCCATCACCGAGTGGAAGGTTCCAAGGAATGTTCGTGAAGTGAGAAGCTTTCTTGGATTAGCTGGATACTATCGACGATTCGTTGAAGGCCTTTCCTCGATCGCAACTCCACTAAACAAACTTCTGAGAAAAGATGTGAAATTTGTATGGACCGATGCATGTCAGCAAAGCTTTGAGAAACTAAAGAAATGTCTGACAGAAGCACCTGTGCTGACCCAACCAGTACCAGGTGTAGACTACACAATCTTTAGTGGCGCATCTCATAATGGCTTGGGATGTGTACTCATGCAAGACGGAAAAGTCGTGGCATACGCATCAAGACAGTTGAAACCTCACGAATGTAATTATCCGACTCACGATCTTGAGTTAGCAGCAGTTGTATTTGCTTTGAAAATATGGCGTCATTATCTCTTTGGAGAGACGACATATATTCACAAAGACCACAAAAGTCTAAAATACCTGCTAACTCAAAAAGAATTGAACCTGAGACAGAGAAGATGGTTAGAATTGATCAAAGACTACGACTGCTACATTGACTATCACCCTGGCAAGGCTAACGTAGTTGCTGACGCATTGAGCCGAAAGATGATAGCCGAATTCCGAGTTCAACCTACTCTCGAGAACGAAATTCATGCTGCACAAAAACGTGATGACTACTATTTGAAGACTTGTGAACTTGTCTCTAAGGGGGAGAGACAAGATTTCAAAGTAAATAATGGAATTTTATTTTACCGGAATCGCTTGGTAGTTCCTAGTGGCGAAGTGAGGGAACGTTTAATGCGTGAATCTCACGAAACCACTTATACCATGCATCCTGGTAGTAATAAAATGTTCCAAGATCTGAAGAAGACATATTGGTGGCCCACAATGAAGCGGGAAATTTCTGAATTTACAACACGATGTCT